CCATTCATTTTGCCTTTCTTTCATGCTGAGCAAAGAAAAAGACAACCTCATAATCCAGATATTTTACCTATGACTCACGCATGCATTCACGTGCACGGATTGTGGCATGACCACCAAAACAGAAAGATATTGGACACAAGATGTGTGCAAATATATTTAGTTTCCTATCCATGTGGACATGATTCCTCTTCTAAGGGGGTCCTCACCTCCTCTAGGGGGGTCCGGGGGCATGCTCCCCCGGGAAGATTTTTTTTTAAATGTTGAAGTTAAAAGCATCAATCTGGTGCACTTCAAAATTAGGAGCTCTATGGATACATCTCTCAACATCCATATGAAACAGAACTGTAAGCAGATCTCTTTTTCTTTATGGATATTTTACAAATCACTCCCCTTCAAACTGTATTCTTGTTTATTAATAACAACTTGTTTTTACTGTCATATAGTATTTTATACCTGTTTACTTTATTCTCTTATTTTTTTATAACTATAATGATCATATACAGATGTGCCTTTAGCTCACTGGTTGTAGAAAAAGCTTCTTATATTCGTTAGCATAGCTAGCTAACCAGATGCTAATAACAACAAAGTTATTGACTGTATGATCAGTATGACAGATGAACAGATCGCCACTGGGCTTTCAACTAAAGACACAGCCACGCAAAAACTGCGGCATGTGTACAGCTCTGTTATGTCCCGGCTCGTGGAAAGGGGAAAGTAACATATGACCAGATGTTTTTGGTAAAATAGGAAGTTGTTTTAATGAAAACTGCACTCATTTGGCTACAAACAGCCACAATCAAAACAAAAGGCCACAAAGGCACCAGTTTAAATAACAAACAAAGGGAAGTAAAGCAAACATCTGTTTGCTGCGGAGCGCACCGCAGCAAACAGATGTTTGCTTTACTTCCCTTTGTTTGTTATTTAAACTGGTGCCTTTGTGGCCTTTTGTTTTGATTGTGGCTGTTTGTAGCCNATGTTACAAAAATCCAGTTGATAATGAATATTTCCAGAAACGCTCCAGATCAGATTCATGTGTGTCCATGGCCATCCAAGCAATCGCTCCAAAAAAAGTCACGACATTTCCACATGAAATTCCCCTTGAGGCGTATTTCACATTTGAGCTGCTATGTGTGAACCCCTCATTCTGCTTCTTATTATACCATCTGCCAACCTTATCCCTTCCCTCCACAGATGAGCTGCTCCTCAGCTCTCCCGGGGCGGAGCTCTCGTACGTCCACCACCAATGAACAGCGATCGCCGCTCTGCAAGAGACAGCTCAACATCGAGCCCTCAAAGTCAAACAGGAGTGGAAAACATGATCCCATATACGCCAAGCCGATCCACCAGGTACAGCGCACGGATGCTTGACCATACACATAACAAACACCTGAGATTAAGAGTGTATAGAATAGATGCTTTGGCTTCATTGACAATGATACAGAATGCGATTTGAACCGCCGATGTCAAGCGTAACGAGAACAATTTGTATGCGCTATTTAACCCTCCCCACCCAGCTGCCTCGATGGCGTGTGCTGACCTTTGCAACTGCGACTCAGATGATGATTCCTAAATCTGTTAAACCTGCTGACACACAAAACCCTTCTCCCTCATTGCACATACCTCATCTCTTGATTACTTTCAAAAATCCCCTCCCCTCTTTTATTCAGCATCGTCGCCCTTGCTTATGACTGCCCTCATACCTCCAACGTACCTTCCTGTACTGCTTTAAAAACACCAGATATATCGCACCCATAACAACCAACGGACAAAAACAGCTGTATTGAAATACTAGTCTTCCCGCCTTCGTCATGTGATCTACATTGTCTTGCATCTGCCTCCTCTCAGGATAGAAGATGCCTGCCAACGCCCAGCAGGATGCTACAGGAAGTAAGACCAAAAGTTGACATCATCCGCCATGCAGATCCGCAAGCCTGAGCAGGCCACCGAGCCACAATGAGAACATCACAGGCTTACGTTGATGCTGGCTAATGCTATATAAATAGGCTTTAGATTATAAATGATAAGGTGACCTCTTTGCGTTACTGGTAATGTGTAAGAGTACTTTTAAATGTTAGAAGTTGGGTCTATTTTCGCAGCCGCTAAAAGTTAGCACTCTAAGCGCTGCCATTCACAGCCTAATGGGCCGTTTTCTCTGGGCCGCACCAGACCAGCAGTTTGTACATTGTTCATTTTTCAGAAGTTCGGTTGTGCGTTCACCGCGCCCAAAACGCAAACAGACTTATAAACTTCTAAACAGCAAGTCATGTGCCACGGAAATGCTGTTCACCCAGGGTCAGAGATAAGGGGTAAAAACGCAAATCCCGGCAAATTTCTACCAGAGCCTCCACCATGGAGCATCGCGATCGGTGTGTGTGTGTGTGTGTGTGTTGGGATCAACGACACGGCCCGCGCATATGATTATATAATCAGACAACGTCCGTTAAAAAACATTATAACACATATAATGATACGTTCTGCAGTAAGGAGGGGCGTTTCACCGACGACAGGTGTTCTTACTTTTATGTAGCTGACGGAGCATTTTTACTTTACACGACACTGTTCATTGTTCAACGCTTAATTCTGCTTCACTCTTTAACTAAACAACCGCCGATGTCTTGAAAGACTCTTTCGCTAAAGATTTTGAAGACATCCGCGTTCTTGTGACACGTAAATACTGCGCTTCCTATGTTTTGGTGCAGACTGCGTTCACACCAGCAATGAACCGCTCCAGAGTTCGCAAGCAAGCGGTCCGAGACCACCTATTTTAGCGGACCAGAGTCCGGTTGTTTAGTTCACTTAAGAGGTCTCGGACTGTGTTCACACCGACCCAAATGAACCGCACCAAGCGGCTAAACGCACCAGGGTTCGATTCAACCGGACTATACAAGGCAGGTGTGAACACACCCTTAGATGTAGGTCTGTAAAAAAGTAGTATCATCAAAGTAGTAAAAGGTCCCTTTCAAATCCTTTTTAAACTGTGTACTGTACATATAACGATGGAGCTGACTTAAAGTGATACAGAAAATACTAATTAAAATCGTTTTGAGCAACAATTAATATTATTAGGAATTATTCTAAGCCTGTTAATTTTAGTTCACCTATCAGAGGAAAAGGAACTCATTTCACTGTGTGTTATGCTCTCAAAATATAACTCTGTGGTTTGTGACAACGATCAGCTGGCACTGAGGATGCTTGTCATGTGTCTATCTTAATGCTCTTTCTCTCTGCGTGTTGAACAGTCTGTTCTGAGCAGCAGCTCCCGACAGCAGACACACAGCAGCAAAACAGATCAATAAAGAGCCGGCCCTTTGCTTATCCCCCACTTTGGTTTTGCGGGGAAGAAGATGAATAGGCCGGTTAGAATTTAGTGTAAGTGAGTGTGTCGGGTGGACAAACACATGCAGTGAGTAATACAAATCCTGTGAAATAACCCACCTGGCGCATTATCACAATCAATCACATTCACTCACAGATGCAATCAAAAGAGAAATCCTGCCCTTCTACAAAAGGATCGGCAGATGAAAAGTCCCTTTCACACACAAACGCTCGCTCACACGCTCACACACTCACACACACTCACAATGATATTGTACTGTGTGCAGAGGCACAGCAAAAACACTCTGGGCTGATGATTGCATATGAACGTTCTGAAGCGTGGTCATGCACCTCAAGTTACAATTAAACAATGAATATGATGTCCTGGTTCCTTTCTCTGCTTTCTTACACACACACACACACACATTAAATGTTGTGGCTGAGCGTATTTGCCATTTAAAGGGGCTGAGGCCGGTGAATGAGTGTCTGTCAGGCAGGGAGTGCTGTGGACCATTATGGCCTCCTTGCTGGGAAAACGGGCCGATTGATTGCGGTCACGAGAGCTTGACGGTTTGGTAAAATGCTGCAGGGGAGCAGGGGGAGAGCAATGTGAGCGAGTAGAAGTAGAATAAAGATTTGAAGGATGGTGTATTCCTTTGGGGCTATACTTGCTTTTACTCATGTCAGACAGAGGCAGCCAATGGCTATTAAGAGAATGGGCTTTTAAGGCAAAGAGGATAATGGCAAAGTGGACAGACTTTGAATGACCGTATTTCCCTCCTCTCTGTCCTCTGTGTGGTAAACTTGCTGGGTTTCATGTTCTGAAGTTCAATGCTCTACTGTTGCATGATAAAGATAGAATTATCGATATTAATAGCCATTGATTCTACACTTTAAAGTGTACCTGTTTAGAGGTTGTGCAGAGTACTAATGCATATGTGAAAAATATCTTTGTAGCCAGCTCCCCATCCTTGCTTGCGGCTATCAACTGGCTACATTAGCTGCCTCGACCGTAACACACCTGAAGCCTTTACTGGATTGTGTGTGGCCCAGTTGCATTGTGGGTCATCTGCTGAATCAATTGTTTAAAACTGAGTGCAATGCTAAATCTGTGGAGTGCTTGTTTAATTAAGTTTGTACTCATAACTCTATCGGTCCTTTATCATCTTTAATGGCGCCTTTTAAGTATTTTGTTCAGTGTTCTTTTTTTTTGTTAAATAGTAATTTGGTGTGTTTAAGCAGCATACTGATGGCAGCAGAACAACGAACACCTTTTATATCCGTTTCTGTGATATTCAACAATGCATTTCTTCATATCCATATCATTTCCTGAATACACTTTCTCTGTATTTTACCCTAGTTGTTACCTCGATATTCCTCTTATTATATTCAACTCTTTAATTTTCTTTTGTGCTGCTGTCCAACATAGTCTCTCCTTGAACCGCACACACACACTCACAGGGGTTGTAGTGTACACAGACAGACAGTCTCCAGGCACCACACCCGGTGGAGGGGTCATCTCACAGGGTCTGGGCTCCAGGCAGAACACCTTATTAGGAGATAAAAGCATCCACATCCATCCTATCCCCTACCTCCCCCCTTCCCTCCTGTCTCATGAAGCACTTTGAAAACTCAAAAGCCATAAAAATCATTTTTCTGCACTCTTCTGTGTCCTTTGTCCATCTTCTTTACTAGCCTGACATTTGAAAGACAAATGCACTTTGTATCAATTCTATTTATCCTATCATCCTTTCCCTTATCTCAAGCCTCCTCTTCTCCTCCCTTATCTGTGTGCTTCAAGGTTTTTGTTAGAGATTGCTACTGTGTGTCATTAAGCTAGCCACTTAGCTGTAATTGTGCTTCACGGGTGTTTTGACCCCATGTGTGCTCGATTATGTTTTTCCCATTTCACTGATAGCATTGCACTCAATTCACTGTTTTGGATCAAGCTACTGTCACCAGGCCTTTGTATTTAAGGGGTGAAATAAACAATTGTTATTGTTTTATCAGTGTCATTGGTTTCGTTTTCCAGTGGCTGTCACGTTGGAGAGTGATCTAAACATTTTTATTGATATCATTTCTGCACCAACCTTCCATAATGAATCTCTCTTCATTGCGTATGTAGGCAGGTCTCGATTTATTAAACCATTTGTCAGAGTATCGCAAACATGTCTTCCCATTTAACTGTAACACATCATGATTAGATGAATGTCACATCATGATTAGATGAATGTCACATCATTAGACCAATGACTTTTTCTTGCATGGCAAATTGCTAAATATCATCTATCTAATCAGGGGTAGCTGTAGTATGCGGTTACAACAGGAAATACTCAAAGTATTTTATACTGGACAACAAGCTGGTATTACCATAACAACCCTGGACATCTCATTTAAGTAATTATTGGAAATCATCAATTGTTTTAGTCTGGACAAACTGATGATTTATTTGAACCTAACATCAAATCTAACAAAAAGGATATTTGAAAGACAGATATGAGTTAGCTTTTGAAGATGGGAGTGAGTGAGCCATTTGGAAGCAGAGGTTGGATCTGAAGTTAATGTTGTTTACGGAGTGAACTCGGATTGCTCACTTCCCTCCGGGCGCTGCTAATGTTTTCTTTGTCAGGCTCTTTTGTAATGCATGACATGCATTAAGGTATTAACCTCACTTAGTGTGCCCAGAGGAGTTCCCTCTAACACACTGCTGCCCAAACAAGACTCAAGTCCTCAAGTGCACCTGCCAAGATTAAACAGAATATAACTGAATCAAGTTTGCAGGTGGAATAAAGACGTTTCATATTTATAGCATCCTATCTCAGTTGCAAAGTGTAAAATTCTTCTGGTCAGATGCACAGTAATGTAACGTTTCTGTCTCACCGTGCAGGTAACCAGGACCTCTGTGGGATGGAGCTGCGTCTGGAAGAGCTGAGGCATCACTACAGGGTGGAGCATGCCGTCGCTGAGGGGGCCAAAAATGTCCTCAGGCTCCTGGGGGCCAGCAAGGTCCAGGACAAGAAAGCCCTGTCTGAGGTAGGACTGGAAATACACACACACACACACACACACACACACACACACACACACACACACACACACACACATCCTGCAACTGCAAACCCTTCCTCCATCTCAGTTGCACTTAGTTAACAGCTGTAAGACATATAAGTCATGTAAGTCATATGTTTCATCTCTACTTCTAGATAAACACATTGAAACTCTAATCTTCCCTTCTCCAGCCTGTACTTCAGTGCCTTTGTGTTTAACCGTTTTTACAGCACCACTTCATTGTAAGCTATCCTAATGTGGTAAGCTTTCTCTTGATTGATTCAACATAAACAGACAATATGAAGTAATGTAGCACCATAAAGCACTTTCCTCTCCAGTCTGATGTACTGTATCACAGAGCAGCCACAAAATCATATATGACCTTAAAACTCAGCATAACCTTACATCACTAACCATGTGGCGTTGGAACGTTTTTTTAAAACCCCTTACTCACTTGCATACAAAAAATACACACATAATCGTTTATGTCATTCAAAATTGTGTTAAAAGTCAATCATATTTCAATTACAAATGGCATAAAGAAAATATCAATGCTGTATTCTTCTGCAAGGTATATTAGTATAGAACCTCTTAATTGAACATTTCTAATGTATTCTCACACCAATACTCCTGTGATTATTGTTGAAATGTGACCTAAGTACGACAGGAGGGATGGATTTATGTGGTTTGTGAGATGTAAAAGTGAAGTAAATGTCGCCCAGTGAATGTAACTGTTTTAAAGCTGCTCTGCTTGACGATCTGTAGGCACAGTCTCGTCTGAGCGAGGCGTCTCTGCGCTTAGACCTGCTGAGGCAGTCTCTGGATCGTTGCCTGTCAGAGCTGCCGGAGGACCATCCCAAGGCCAGCGTCATCAGAGAGGAGCTGGTCCTGGCCTCCTCCCCGGTCTTCAGCTCCCGCCACAGCGCCCCCTACCTCCACAACCAGTACAGCACCCTCAACAAGCCCTCACCTCTCACTGGTACGACAAATACAAAAACTACAGGGGACGCAGTCAAGCATGTTCACACAACAAGAATCATAGATACACAATGACAACATGCAAAACTGTATACTAACGGCCCGTCCACACGACAGCTTCAAAAACGGTTTCCAACGCGTCTGGCCATTCACTTTGAATGGGGTGACGACACGTTGCCTCGCTTTTCGCCGAACTGAATTGTGGGTAGCAGAGCGGAGCTTTCCTGGCGTTTCAGGCTGTAAAAGTTGAGCAATGTCCAACTTTTGAAGCTTCTGAAGCTTTCGGTGGAAGCGTCAGCCAATCAAATCATATGCCAGTACAAGCTCTAGCCAATCAAACCGCTGCTTGTGTGTCAGGGGCGGGAGATTCATGTTATTGGTTGTTGGTCGACCTTCAGACACGCCCGCCGGCAAGCTTTTTTTGAAGCTGTAGTGTGGACGGGCCGTAACTGTATAGAACAGAGACTATTCAAATCAGAGTCATTTCAAAGCCCCTAGCCATCTTATTCATTCAGGTTGGGATGATGAGGTTTCAGGTTCAACCTTATTATAATATGTATAAAACTACATTGTAATGCTTGTGCTCAGTGGCATTTTCTGCTTTACGAAATGGGCACATATCAAGACAAAAAAATAAAAAAGGTTTGTATTCTATGATCCTGTGTGATGGGTGGGGAATGGCTTTTTATTGATCTTCAGGCCAATGACGCAAATGTGATTCCAGATAATTATGGCTATTTATGAAGAAATAATCTTTGTAAATAAAAAAATGCAATATCTTTCTTTTGTGTTCACAGAGATTATTTGCCTTAAATAAAAGCAGATTGACTTATTTAGCCTCTGGTATAGTTTTAAATACAGTACAATAGAAATAGCAAGAATGACCATCAGGGATGACAGAACAATTCCACAATTTATTTATTTCTGTTGTGGCCTTTGCTGTTTTTGGCCTTCAGGTGTTGGTTTGTACCTGAATTCTCCCCCACTGTCTTCAGGTACCCTACAGGTGCAGCTGCTGGGCTGTGTTGGGCTGCTGGAGGTGGTCCCAGGTCGCAACAAAGGGACAGCAGTCATGCTGCCCTGCTACAGCCCCGGAGACAACCGCTCCTTCATGAGAGGAAGCAAAGGACTCTACGGACGCAGCGGCTCAGTGAGCGGGAAAACACCCAGCAAGACAGACGAGCTCTCCTGTAAGTGTGGTCCCCATTTTGTTCATTTTGTTCGTTTAAAAAAAATAAAATCTTATTTTTCTCTACTTTTATATTATTATCTTTCCCTATAATGTATATAAGAAAAAGAGAAAAATAAGAATAAACGTTTATTTTTTACGGTCATTCAGTTCTTAAATATTAAATGTAGTTCCAAAGGTTTAAAAAAAGAACGTCCTTTTTTTGCCCTTGGACATTTTTCATCACAAACAGTGCAACACATACTGTCGCTCTCAGCACAAAATAGAAATGAAGCTATAGCAGATCCATATTGAGTAAATTCAATTAGTGTCACTGTATGTTGGTACGGGCAGGGATTGTGAGCGCTCACACATAATTGCAACATCAGCACATTTAGTGAGATTGCTGCAACACCCTGAGCAGACAATTCACAGCCAGCTTTTCTTAAGGTCTTGCACTTTATGTCTTCAAGTAAATAAATAACGATCATTAATCAATACCCATACGGTATTACACTAGCTTTCTTTGTTATAGTGTTCAGCACTAGGGTGGCAGGTTCTGTAGAGTAATGTAACGTGTGTGTGTGTGTGTGTGTGTGTGTGTGTGTGTGTGTGTGTGTGTGTGTGTGTGTGTAGCCGAGGTGAGTGCTGTGCTGAAGCTGGAGAACAACGTGGTGGGCCAGACACCCTGGAAGACTGTGGGAGAACAGGCCTGGGACCAGACCTTCACTGTGGAGCTGGAAAGGGTCAGCACACACACATGAACACATCAAGTGGATTTCAAAGTGTAAACATAATGAGATGGATCTACATGCTCAAATATTGTTAACATTATAGCTAGTGCTAACATCTTGGTTTAAATTACTGTCAAAAGCAAAGAACACCTGAAAAAAAAAAAACTGAAACGAAAGAAAGATATCTATAAATGTCTCTTCGCCATCTTTGCCTCCTCTTTTAACGGAGACATGACTCTGGTTGTTTGCACTGATGCCTATGTACTGTATATGTTTATTGCTTAAGGGAGTTGTGACCCAGAGGCAGAGAGAATTGTATTTTGTACGCAGATGTTGTGTACAGCCATCACATTGTGTAGCCTTATATACTTCATGATAAGTTAAAGCAAACGTTGTGTCTATTGCCTCGTTAATTATCCTATTAGGAAATCTGCAGCTACCACTATTGAGAGCTGGTATCTGTGTGTGTTTCAGTCGAGGGAGATGGAGATTGCAGTGTATTGGAAGGACTACCGCTCGCTGGCTGCCCTGAAGTACCTGAAGCTGGAGGAGTTCCTGGACAACCAGAAACACAGAGTTCAGCTGGAGCTGGAGCCTCAGGGCCTGCTGCTGGCAGAGGTACACACACACACACACACACACACACACACACACACACACACACACACACACACACACACACAGCAACAAAACATTGGAAAAGGGACAGCAACACATAAGTGTGAACATAAATGTCCTTGCATACATGACACCTGTCTATTCATGTGCTATAAATACACACAAAGATATTCAAATGTGCCCTTCCCACACACACACACAAGCTGTCACATGCACCTGTGCTGAAAAACCCTTTGATATATCATACTGGAATCGTCTGTTTTATGTCGGGAAACTAAAATGTTGATCTGTAGTTTCTATGTTTCATGTGTGTGTGTTTGGCAGGTGACCTTCTTCAACCCGGTCATTGAGAGAGCTCCTCGCCTTCGGAGGCAGAAGAAGGTCTTTTCTAAGCAGCAAGGTGAGCGGAGAGTGGAAACACAGGAAAATAGACTGATCTTGGAAATAACTATAGTGTTTCTTCTCTGAAAATGTAATACAGTTTGCTAAGATTACCTTTTGAAATTAACAAACAGCAGTTGTATTTTTTTTACTTTATGAGAAAATAAACATAACCAGAAGGCAGGAACAGTGATGGTTACACAAAACACTCAATTCATTCAGACCACAGCACCATCTAGTGGTGAATAAATCATCTCGTTTCCTCATCATGATGACAACTTTATTTACGCAGCACTTGCCGGAACAAAGATAGGAAGCACTACACTTAAACAGGATGTAAACTGGGGATATTCAAATTGAGCCCAAAATAAAGCTGAAAATATTTGTATAGAGAAATTCTGCAATATACAGAAATAATAGTCCAAAAGTTGTGGAGGATTTACGTTAAGAATCCGAGCTGATAACAAAAGAAGACCTTTTCCTTGACAGTGTGATGATCGGGTCTGAGGACATAACATATCTGACTCTGGTTGTGTTTCTGTTTTCAGGCAAAGCATTCCTTCGGGCCCGTCAGATGAACGTTGATATCGGGACGTGGGTGAGGCTGCTTCGAAACGCCATCCCCACTGTCAACAACTCAGGAACCTACAGTCCCAACGCACACAGCCTCACACTCAACTCTGGGTAAGACACACACACACACACACACACACACACACAAAACAACCCAGAAGCCACACAGATGCACACATTCCACTTCATTGTTCTGTGATGTTTCATAGCCATCAGACCTCAAACCTTTCTCCTTGTGTCTCCTGGCAAAGTGTAAAGCACTGGATGCTTTCTCTGCCCCACGTCTAACCACCCTCTTGTGTTTGTCTGTCTGCATCGCCGTGTCGGTCGGTTTGTTTGTTTGTGTCTGCGTGAATTTCAGGGAGGTCTCAGTGGAGAAGTTGAGTCTGGACAGCGACTCTCCGATAAGAATGGATTACAAGAGAGACGCGGACGGACAAACCCCGGTGAGGGAGACAGAGAGAGATGAAGCCCTGGAGATGGGGGAGGTGTGTGTATGGTTGGTTGGGCCTACTGTAGTAAGGTCTTTGTAGTTACTGTTGGGTGAGGGAAGTTTCACTTTCCTAGAAATAATGCCCAAAGCTCTTATCCACAAGTAAAGAATAAACCCTAACAGATGGGATAAATAATCGCATATACAATTGATCAGAATGTAATTGCACAAAATTAAGGCCATAAAAGATACAATTTGGTTCAAATGCTGACTTTATTTGAAGTTAAACAAACCACAGAAGACAGTGTTTCATTTTGAGGTTAAAATGCAATTGGGAAATCACTAGTGAATCCAGAAAGCTCTTACTGAAAATAGGGCCCTAATCATTATACGTAACACTAAATATAGTTAATATGATCACAAAATATAGATATCAAATACAAAATAGCATCAGGTACCTAACTTAGTGCACACAATGGCGTTTTAGGGCCATTGTAGGTTAAAATAATCCCATGAATGGCTACTTTTTGTTCTTTGAAATGCCGATTTCAGCTTAAATGATACAAAAAACAGCCATGTGGGTTCTCTTGCAGGGGGGCGCTTGATTACAGTGCCTCCAACTAAGGACAGAGCAGGGACAAAAAGTGAATCCTGCTGTTTGTACGTCACGTCCATCATGTAATCATGCGTCTCTTGACTTCCATTATGTCTCTGTCTCTGCATGTCCCTCTCTCTGTGTCTTCTCCTCTGTGCCTCTTTCCTCGCATGTCCCCCATCAGGACCGACTGCCCGTCATCGAGCCCTTCTCTCCCCCAGACCTCACCCCCGAGTGCCCTGTCCGAACCCCATCTGTTGGCAGGTACACACGCATAAACACTCCATCCTTGTGCCCCATCCACGTTGGATTTGTTTTCGATATTTTCTGTGAAACTGTACTTTTACTCTCATATTTGTATGAGTTTATATTCTTGTATAAACAACATCGTTTTTGGTATAAGGTTTTTTTACAATGATATGAGTTTCCTAAAACCGCATATTGAGGCTTCATAAACAAGCAACATGTTTCTCTTTAATTATTTTGATGTAAGTAAGTCTCTCCATCGCTGTCTGTATTCTAGGCAGTGTATATGAACGCCAATATGATGTTTACTGTATTTGGTTCTAGCCTTTAAATGTTTCTGCTGACTGTCTCCTACTGTCTCCTCAGTAAGCAGAGGAAGGGCCCTCTGTCTCTGCAGGACTTCAGGCTGATCGCTGTGTTGGGAAGGGGACACTTTGGAAAGGTACACTTTTGTTGGTTACTTTTAACTTGGAATACACAAAAGTACCAGCGGAAAAGGTCTCCACTATAACACAAAGAACAATAGAAGGCAGTTCTTGATTTTATGAGCACAATATGTGTACAAATGTAGACACATTATGGCTACAAAACTTAAAAAGGGTTTGAATTGCGTCTCATATGGATTGCAGTGTGTTCGTCAGGCAGTATCAAGAGGTTTACGCTTAAATATTTCCAAGAATCCATACATTTAAGAGAATGTGTGAAAGGCCTTCTTTGTATGTTTTGAGAATATGTTCTTATTTGCTTTCAATGGAACTTTACTTTGTCAACAATGTTATGTCACATGGAAAGTGGCATGGCTGCAGTAAGTTTAAGAAACTTAAATTAAACCCTCGTTTCATACATATTAATCATTTTCATTCAAAATAAGCTGAAAGTTTGAAATAGCAGTAATGTGAACAGGAAAAGTGAATACAAGCACAGCAATTCAGATCTTAATTAAATATCCCATTAAACTGTTTCTATGTGGTCTTCCTCATAAAAGAATGAACAACAGCCCTCAGTTCACACTTGACATGGTTTGTGAATTGTTAGTAAAAACAAAGAGTAAATCAAAGCTGTTTTCTGCATGTGTTTGTCTTCAGGTGTTGTTGTCAGAATACAGGAAGACAGGCACAATGTACGCCATCAAAGCCCTGAAGAAGGGAGATATCGTAGCTCGGGATGAAGTGGAAAGGTGCGTGTTGATATGTCCATTACCTTGGGTTGTTGTTCTTCTTTAGACTGGATCTACGGGCTGTTTTTATAGATAACACATTTCACTGTGTTCAATCTATGCAGCTGTGCCTTAAATCATTTTGACCAAAATAAACACTGTCTAATTAAGTGTCAAAATGTTTAATTATTCTCTAATCTTTTTCCTTTCCTCCTAATAATCTTTCATTTTTTGTATCTCTGCTTCCTCCTCCTCTCCACCTTTTCTCTCCCTCCCTCATCAGTCTAATGTGCGAGAAGCGCATCTTTGAGGTGGTGAACCTGTCGCACCACCCCTTCCTCGTCAACCTGCTTGCGTGCTTCCAGACTCCGGAGCATGTGTGTTTTGTCATGGAGTACACAGCAGGAGGCGACCTGATGATGCACATCCACACTGACGTCTTCACAGAGCCCCGAGCCGTGTATGTAACGATGGTTTTTGTTTAGTTCGTCCAATGCAATTTGATAAGGAAAGACTACATTTGACACTGAAACAATTTGACAAATATACACTTAATTTGTCTCAGACTTCTGAAGACTGATAATAGCTTCAGCTGAATTAAGAATATGACAACAATACATTTTGTCCCACATCGCTTATTGTAGAAACACATTTGGAAGCAATGTATTTGTGGCCTGTATAGATGGGACCTTATTCAGTGTTTATATGGGAATGTCAGGGTTGATATAAGACAGACTTTTTAAAAAGTTTGTAGTGGAAAATGTTGTTTTCAAACCAGTTTTGGAATCAAACTTCTTTGGCATCTGGTACATCCGGCAAATGATCACTTAATTCATTGTCTTTTTCAGCGGACATGACCAAAACCGAAAGCCTACAACTTTGCCATTAAACACACATGCATTCACCGTCGTCTTATTAGTACTAGAAGTCAAAGTGTGTCCATTTTTGGTAGAAACATTTGATTTGCATTTTACTCCCTTTTATTTCAGGTTAGCAATAACATTTATTTGGTTTGTCTTTAGGTTTTATTCAGCCTGCGTAGTTCTTGGACTTCAGTTCCTCCATGACCATAAGATTGTGTACAGGTAAGAGGAACCCACACAAACCTGTGTCCTCACATGACGGTGGGGATGTAAAAAAGGGATGTCTACTTTATAAGCAACAGACCGGGCATGTTATAGTAGTTACGTAATCGGCACAATCTTGATCATTTTTTGCTTACTTTGATATTTCCCTTTGTGTTAAAATGTGTATTTATTTACATTCAAATGTCACCAACATTCTAGAAAACATAATACCAGAAATAACAGCAGGATTAACCTTGGGCATTGTGCAGACATTGAGCATTTTATATAACATTTTTCTTTAAGGCTTTTGGGAATAGTTTTATTTGTATTAATTGAGTACAATTAAATCTTCCAATTTGAATTCCAATGACTGTACTTGCATTATTATACTAATACACTATCATTATAACAGTTATATTATATGGTCTTAAAATAGCAATAGTAACATTTGTATAAATTATTTCTGGGACAATGTTGACTTAACAAATATGTGACTTCTCATATTTGTTAAGTCAACTGGAGAAGCTCTTAATGTACACATGGCTGGATATCAGCCTGGCCTCAGCAAAGTCTCACAGATAAATTAGCACAACTGTAAATGTTTTGTCTCGGTTGTATCTCTTTTAAACTCCTTGTGTCCTCTCAGCTGTACTCGTTAAAATTGTGTACAGATTCTCAGCTACACGCTTCTATCTTCCCTCTCTTCCAGAGACCTCAAGCTCGACAACCTGCTGCTCGACACAGATGGTTATGTAAAGATCGCTGACTTTGGGCTGTGTAAAGAAGGTGGATATTGATGTTGCTGACAGATGGGTGTTTATTTTTAGCCATCTGCAAAATTCCTCTAAAAATCTGTCTCTGTCTGTAGGAATGGGCTTCGGGGACCGGACCAGCACGTTCTGTGGGACTCCAGAGTTTTTAGCCCCCGAGGTCCTGACGGATACATCCTACACCAGAGCGGTAGACTGGTGGGGACTGGGGGTCCTCATCTATGAAATGTTGGTTGGAGAGGTGAGAACTAAGCATATATACAGACTAGAGCCTTTACACCAGGGGTGGGGAACCTGCGGCCCCCGGGCCGTATACGGCCCACGAGACAATTTGGTACGGCCCTCGAGGTAATTTCTAAACACACGCAAAAAAGACAAAAATTAAATAAATCTAGACCGCAAAAAAATTAAACAAGCGAGGGCCTGTTTTTCCTGACCAAGGTCAGGGTCCTTGAACACAACACGAGCCTAAAGTGTCATCACGTGGTATATGTCTCGTCTGACAGGGGTGTAGTTCTGACTCGGCACTTCCCAAAATTGCAGTACCCATAAGGAGCCGTACACATGCCGCAGTTTTTGCGTGGCTTTGTCTTTAGTTGTAAGCCCAGTGGCGATCTGTTCATCTGTCATACTGATCATACAGTCAATGACTTTGTTGTCTGGTTAGCTAGCTATGCTAACGAATATAAGAAGCTTTTTCT